AAAATGTAGTTCTAATACTAACCTAACAGTACGGAAAAAAATAAGGTAAAATAGCACGATACGAAAAAGAGGACACATTTCCTGAATTGGATCATATTAACCTAATTATCGTAAAATATGAATAATGACAAGATTGATACTGATTGATTACCGACACAAATGGACACGTAAATAATAATTAATTGTAATTTGATTGAGTGTGGTAATTAAAGATGAGTGATGAGCAACAGTCGAAATGAATGACGCTGAAAAACGCATTAGGCGGAAACGTCCCGCTTATTTAGGTAAGGAAGACGCACGATACGGGTCTACATTTTAACTTAGACTGCTTATCTTTCGTTTCAGCCAAATAACGTCCACTGCTGGACAAAGGCCTCCCATAAGGATTTCCATAACCGGTCCTGCACTGTTCGCTTCCAGGCTCTTCCCGTGACATTCACCAGATCGTCGGTCCACCTAGTGGGCCACGTTACGTCTACCGGCCCGTGGTCATCATCTCTACAAGCTATGTGCCCCGCCCACTGCCACTTGTTTTTTAGCAATTCTGCGGGCTACTTATAATGTAAAGAATAATCCTTATATTATGTAAGGGCTCTTTTTCACAGAGACTTCCCGTTTTTTGCATGGTCATAAGCTAGAAAGAAGAATAAAATAAACTGAAATTATTATTTTTCTCTGCCTTATTATTTGAACTGAAAGACAATTAATCGAGGATGGTTCTATGAAGAATCGTTGGAAAACCGTTCATATTATGTAGCTGTGTGTTTCCCTTTTTCAGTGACGTTCAAACGCGCCGGTCCATCGAGGTGTCCATTTTAAGCCGTTACCGATCGAGCTCTCTTATTTATCTTGCATACTCAAGGTTTACATACCTACTAATAGGTAGATATAGCGTAACGATTACATTGTGTTTACCTTTATACCTAAGTAGCTAAAAAATTCTAGAGTCTGTATGTTAATATCTAGACCAATTTCAGGATATAATCTATGACTGAGACTGAATCAAGCTTAGAGTTTTGTAATACGGACCATACTTTGTAACTAACCAACACTATCAAAGTATCTTCTTCTCTTCTTTTTCATATTTATTTAGTGTCGGCTCTCCTTGTTCTGATGCGCCAGGACACATCAGGACAGTCTGTCCTGTGCCTGGGTTGTTAAAATATTTGTTTGGGCACGCTCTAAGTCCTTGGCCACCGTGGATTGGACCACTTGGTAGCCAGTGGACATCCTCTACTATTCTTATTATTTGGCAGTACTAAGGCCTGTTTTACGACATGGTCTATTACATTATGCGACACTATCAAAGATGTAGCCTTTATCAATACTCCCTACTCCTATCACAGAATAAGTAATAGTAGCTCCTACGCATGTGATCACAGTTATGTCAGTTATTACGCTATTCAAGCGCTTGTACAACCAGTCGAATGGCTTCTACTGTCCACAATATTACGTGACCACAGAAAGTTTTGTCGACTATAGGCTCTACTCCGCCAAAGAATTCCCACAGAGTCGATTTTACTTTTCGCTTTTACTCATAGTAGTGAAAGAGAGGTTAGAGTCGATAATTACGAAAATCTTTGGCATGGTAGCGCCCTCCATGTTTGTGGGCATCCAGCCAAATGCCGTTGAGGACCTTCCAACCTATTTAGTTAATGACAGAAGCCAAAGGGAGATGCAATTTGGATTCAAGTTCATTTAAAAGTCTGTCCGGAACCGATAGTTCCGACTTCATGAAATTTTAGATGAATATTGGAAATATCATTATTAGCGTGGGAGTAAAAAGAACCACAAAGCACGGTTTCCCGCCTTTTTCGTCCAGTCATTGCCAACTTTCTTCTTGAGATTGTGGTCCAGCGCAGATGACATGGAAATAATGGTCTCTAATAAAAATGTTGTCACGTTATCAAAGCAAAATAATAGTAGGACTTGTAACAAATCTATATATATAAAAGAAAGTCGTGTTAGTTACTTCGCTTATAACTCAAGAACGGCTGAACCGATTTAGCTGAAAATTGTCAGGGAGGTACCTAGGCGCCATTAAGGCGGAACAAAGTTCGCCGGGTCAGCTAGTATTTGATAAATAAGTAACGTGGTGACTCCTGAAATAAGTTACCAGATAAAAATCAATTTTCTCTTTCATTTTTTTGCATATCCTACCAAACTAGGTCCTCGTAGGTAAACGTAAATAAATAAATTAACTATGAAAAATTTCGTCAAAAAGGTTGAAATTAAAAAATTCTACACTGTCTACGCTCCGCGAGGCATAGAGAAGAAAAAAAAGGTTGAAACAGCTTCTAAAAACAGCCAGTACTGAAATCGACGATTACACAAAAGAAATCGCAAACCTTCCAGCTGCAAATGTGGCTTTAACGCCGGGTAAGCCCCCGATTTATCCTAACTCCGTTTTAATAGTTCCCGGTGACGGCTCCCGGCATTCTAAAAAGGGATTAAGCAGGTCACCGCTGCGGAATCAACTTATTTCCATAATCTGCTATTAAAGAATTATTGTTGGTCTTTTTAGGGTTCCCGCGCTTACAGTTGAAGTAGTTTCAGTTCAAAAACTTTGATGTTTTTTTTTAACATTAGGTACCTACCTACCTAGTGTCATCAACAAAACTACCTCACCTACTCGACAGACTAAGGCTGAGTTGTACCACCTAACTTTAACGGTAAATAAAGATAACCAGTGCATTTTGTATGGAATTTGGCAGATTTTTGACGTTTGTTAAAGCTAAAGTAAAAAGGTGCAACCCAGCTTATGTAGCTACTAGGGTTCTTCGATAGATTAGCTAGGGTTGTGAACGAGTTTAGTAGAAACAGAGCTCTTACAATATTTTGATCCTGTCTAATCCGTATTGTCGTCACAGGCAATTTTCTCAGAAAATTATCTTAATGTGATTTATTAACGATACAGTAAGTACCTATTCGTAGTTTCGCTATGACCATTATTTATGATACGTAGCTAGGAAGGTTCTGCACAAGTTCCCTTCTAGCTTTGCCAGTTTTTTTAACGAGTGATTTAAGAACCGCTTTGATATTAAACGGTGGTTTAAGAATCCAGCTTAAGATTATTTTAGTCTGCAGCTGAACTAACTAGATTATTTTAAGATTTTCATGTATAAACAAAACTTATGCCCACGCATCCTAGGTTGTTATTTTTTAAGCAAAAACGTTTCAGTAAAGTCCAGGACCCTAGCCTACGCATAACGGTTTTCATATTACCATCTATTAGTGCTTATAATATCATCTTAAAATGACAGGGTGAGATGGATTATAAAAATGCTGATCTTGATTTTGAATATTGGCAACCTTTTACATTATTCCTCTCTCAGACAACTAATTGTCTGGTAGAGATCGTATCATAGGGATAAGACTGCCTAATTGTGCAGTGTCTTTTGTGTATTTATTTTCTTGTTGTGTGTGATGTACAGTGTACCTACTACAGTAAAGTCGTCGCTTGCCTCTCTAACTGACGTATCTGACATTTTTTTCGAAACTGAGTTATCTACACCATCTTAAATTTCGCAAGACGAATCGATCTGTCTAATCGCCTGAAAATTTTGCAAAACGTCAGTTACGTCAGTTAGAGGCAAGCGACGAAGTGTCATCTGTCTATCATCTATTTTTAACAGATAGGTATTCACAAAAAAGAGGCCACGTCATATCAGCCTCAGGAGTCCACTGCTGACCATAGGCCTCCCCCAATGATTTCCTGCGTAGCGGCCTGCATCCAGCGCCTTCCTGCTACCTTATAAGATCGTCGGTCCACCTTGTGGGTTGGACATCACACGCTGCGTTTTCCGATACGTGGCCTCCTCTATTCCTATTTACCTATGCATAATTACATACGCATAGCAAGCAATTGAATTGAACATACTGTAGATTTCTTTACAAGTCATTGGTTATTGTAACGATATTAAACTCAATTACCTGTGAAATTCCTTGTGAAATTCCTTGTGAAATAGATAGAGCGGTACCTGTGGTCGTACACTGTCGATTCCAAGTAACATGTGTTTGATTCCCAAATGCGATTTTATTCGTTGAATACCCCCTAAGATGATAATAAAAAAAATATATTTAATTAGCGGCCGCTTTACCCCCTTAGGGGTTGAATTTTGCAAAATCCCGCCTTAGTTAGCAACTACGTTCTAAAAGGAACCCCCATGCAAAATTTAAATCTCCTAGCACTTTTTTCGTGATAAGGGAGTGAGTCGGTGACCTTTCCTTTCTTTTAAGGCCAAGAACTTAGATTAATAAAACCTAGATGGATAGTCTTCATACAAACGCTTCGTCAAGAGTGAGGCAAAAATCTTATGTCATTAGTGTCAATTTTGTTGGGGAGTGTAGACAGTGAAGGCGATTTTCCCGAAAGTAGGGAAATTTTTAATACGTTTTTAATTATTTTATAACTAACAAAAACAAAACGCATCATGTACTTACTTATTTATTGAATTCAAAGTACCTACCTAATTACAATAAGATAAATCGCCTGAAAAGTCTCGATTTCATAAAAANTCAAGCAAAATACGCGTCGAATCGTAGTACTTACTTATGAAATGTAACACTGGTCACTTTCTTTAGTTTTTCTGATGTATTTAGACACCCTTTCACAGCACAAACCGTCTTAATTAATTAAAAGTCGTCGGACGTGTTTACCAATTTTTCACTTTGACAGTTCATGTGACGTTTACGAGTAAGCCATTCTGGCTTACTAAAATCTGCCTCACCTTTCGTGCACTGACTATCTATCTAGGTTTTATTAATCTAAGGCCAAGAACAATTAAATAAAACAGGGCCTGCCTAAATAACAATAACAAAGGGTCTTATTACAAAAATTTAAACGAGCGTTTAACACTTGTTTAAATTGATATTAAGTATGGAAATGTAATCTAAGACTGAGTTGCACCATCTTACCTTAACTTTCACAAACGTCAAAAATCTGTCAGACTCCATACAATAGACACCGGTTACCGTTACTTAAACTAACGGTTAAAGTTAGGTGGAGCAACTCAGCCTTAAACTATAAAGATTTTGGCCTGGATCAACGATTAAAGAAAACACAAAATATTTTGATATAAACGCAGTTTATTGCAGTTGCAAAAAATATAATAACTTAAGTAAATGGAAGTATTGTTTACTAAACTAATTTATAATTAAATAAGTATAACTACCTACCCCTAGTATGTATTAGTAGTTTAGGAAATACTACAGCTTTCTTCATATTCCTATCAGAGAACATTTTAAATTAAGTTATTAAGTAGTTAATAGAGAATACATCTCTTTTATAGTAAAAATCTATAAATAATTTTACTAACTTTAAAACTATAAAAACAAATAATTTGACATTTTACTTATATTATTATGTAGTAAAATAAATAAATTCAATATTAAAAATACTGACGGACACATAAAGTAAAATAATGCCTAATTTACATAGTATCAAGATAGAATTAATAAATTAAAATTAAAAGTAATAATAGAATAAAAAAAAAAGTAAAACGCACTTATGCATTTGGAAAAAGGTCATTTTGCCTTAAATTGGTGTACCTACCTATGAGCGTACATAATAAATTAAATACTATTTCTATAGTACATTTTCTAATATATTTTATTATACATATTTTATTAAGATCCTCTTTTAGTTTAATAAACATTCTTATTTAAAATAACATTCTCAAACAAAACTTGTACCGAGTACCAACATACAGTGAAAAAACTTCATAATAATTATTGCCTCAAGCAAAAATTCGCTTAGTAAATTATATTATGCTAAAAAATTGTGATTTTGGTGCTCATATAAAAAGAACACACATGGTAGTTTAATACAATTTGTATGGGAAAGTTTTTAGACACAAAAAAAACGTATTAAATTGATTTTCCTGTCTACTCCTATGAAGCTTATTCATTGCACATTATGTACTCGATAATATCAGTCTATAATATACCTATATGTAATTTAGGTACATAAATACCTACCTTAAAATATGGTATACATCATCTCAGTTAAATAGATAAACAAATCTTATAATTAACAGTAACCTAACTTTATTGCGTAAACCATTAGTTATAATTTTGAACTAGAAAATCCACTAACTCACCGTTTATTTTATGTAATGCACGCCTCTATGACGAAACCGTCGATGCGCTTTCCGTTGAAATACTCTGAAATACTGAGTTAAGGAATAATACTGAGATTTCATCATCATCATCATCATCATCATCCATCATCAGGTCAATAATCTCAACTGAACACGATATGTTTGAATAAATGTGTTTTTAAATAAAATATAATGAAATAACATAATTAATAATTGTTACTACTGATCTAATATTGTAACTTCTTCTTTTATTTTGTAAAATTTAATTTATCTTACATAAGAATTAACTCAGCAAAATACACCTTTATGTTTATTATACATAATACTTGCTATACCCCTACAGGGTGCATGTGATGTACTACCCTACCATTTACCAACTGTCAAACCACACAATATGTAATGCAATAAATGATTTGATTTGTTAACCACATTGTTGTGTTCCGGCAGTTAGAGGTAAGATAGCCAGTTTCTCCGTGGTTGAGGATTCCGGATCAAGCTCACTTCCATCTGATCATCACTTACCATCAGGTGAGATACACGCCAAGAGCTTCATCGTCGTGGATAAAAAATAGTGCTAGTGTTACTTTTATTCTAAATATTAAAAAGGATACGAAAACATCTTTGGGCATCATCCAAGCGACCGAACCTGGCGACGGCACAGCCTGGAGTGGTGAGCTGCAGAGACAACAGGCGCCCGCAGCGAGATACCTCGTCGCAGAGCAGAGGGAACGTTGTGGATGGTGGTAGCTGAAATAAGAAGAAATCATCGATAAATAAAAGCAATCGATTGTGTTCACGCCGCATCACTAGCGCCGCAACACGTCACTAGCGCCGGGTGCGCGCGCCCTTACAGAGTCCTACTTCAAGAAGATTCATAACCACAATAAATCGTTTAAGGCTGGGACATGCAAAATTTCCAGCCCACTTAAAAAGGATGAGAATGGTCTCTACAGACAAATATTGTCAGACAGACGCTGCAGACCTAGACCATATGATTCTACAATGTCCAGCCTTTAAAATGGAGAGGCTACTGCTAGTGGGTGGCTTACTAAAGATATACCAAGATGGAAATATTCCCCGCCTCTTGCCATCCTTACTAGCGAACGAAAATTCATATCTCCATATTTATCAGTACATTACTAGTACATCAATAGAACTATGAAGACCACAATGAAGACTTAGAACAAAATAGACACAGACATACTGAAGAACATAGAACCAAACACTGAGATGTTTTACCAAACAGTGCAATACAAGAAAGAATTGGCCGTATGGATATATATCCAAAGCCGTAAAACCTCTATGAAAAAAAAATGCGCGCACTCTCTCATGTCATGTGCTTGCTGGTTGCGCGCGCAGCCTCGGCCGCACTCATCAAAGCGACTCCGCACAGGTCGGAGCCATTTTAATTTATTATTGTAAAGCAACTGGAGTAAACTGCATTATTATAATCTATCAAGAGCAATTGTTAGCCGGCTCCCGAACAGATAGGGTTAACGAAGCACGAGTTGGGTTTTTTTCACAGATCACAGAAACTAAAGGGAGATGTGACAAGGGGGCAGGGCCGGTGTCACAGCAATATGCCACCCAATGAGATTTGTATCCCAAAAATTGCTGGCGTTATGGTCATCGGCTTACGAGAAAAGATGAAAATAAACTCAATATCTACTCAGTACCAAATTATTTATCATACCTATAAACGTTCATTGTGGAAAACCTTGGGGGAGGCCTTTGTCCAGCAGTGGACGTCATTTGGCTGAAACGAAACACTGATGAGTAACAACTACAAATAAATTAATATGAGCATACTCACATTACGGAATAGCACCTGGTGCTCTTTATTAGCCACCAGTTGATTAGGCCCTGATGGTGGACCATTCGGAGAAATCATTGGCCGAGGACCCATCGCTGGATTCGGGCCTTGCATGACTGGGACATTGGCAGTGGGTGGCCTGTAAGGCCCAGGCATGTAAGGGCGTATGGGCCCTGTTATAGGTCCTATAGGTACTTGAGGACCTACAGAACCTGGATGACCTAAAGGACCTTGAGGACGTACTGGAGGACAAGGCCTTATTGGGACATTCGGATGCATTGGAACTATAGGAACATTCGCACCAATCGGCTGCATCATTGGACCTGATGGTCCAACAGGCCCCATCATAGGTCTGACAGGATTCATCACTGGTCCCGGCGGATGAAACGGCCCAGGTCTTATATTCCCTGGTTGATTTGGAAATTGTAAACCTGATGGTGGAAACTTTTGCTGCAATTCTGTAATTGCTGGAGGCTTTTTATCTGATGCGCTTGTACTTAATGCAAGGGGGTTTAGGCGTGGATCATTTGGAAATGTATTTTTCTCAGGTGGCTTCTGTTTATCTTTTAATTTTGAAGGTGTGACTATTCTTGCATCTATGTTTTCTTCATCAGACGAACTCTCAATTTCGTCGAGTCTTGGCTTTTTGCTAGCGTTCTCCGAAATTATATCCTGTGCCGATTCTTCACAGATAGACAGATCTTGCACATTGGTAGTTTTAAAATATTTTCGCCGCTTCGAAGAATCAGTTTTTTCACTGGAATTACAACTGTTTGTATCTAACTCTTCTTTCTTAATATCCAAATGTTCTTTCTCTTCATCATCATTATCACGCGTGAACACCGAAACGTCGAGGAGTGAGCGTTGGTGTTTTTTGTACTTTCTATAATGTTGTTCTACGTCTCTTAACGGTCGCCCATTAAATCCTAAACCTGGACCAATATCTTTTAGACCTTTTGGTAAAATTATAGTGTCACTTGGTGGATTGATCATCATAACTTTTAGATTCTGACCGTATAGATTTTGGCCATTAAACATGGATATAGCCTGAAAAACAAATGGAGCTCATTTGACTTGCATAAAACTTCTTTATGCTTTAAACGGAATAATTTAAAAGTTTATCAATATTCATTCCAACTCATTTAAATATGAACAGGGTATGTTTGGACGAGCGAGAATCTCTCAATGTCCATCAAACAATGACTGAAAATATTTAAAAGTGGCTTTCATTTTAATACCAACGAGTTTCAATTGAAAAATAAATAAGATAGCTACTTTACATCAACAATGCAATTTATTTAATGATATTATTATTCTGCATAGGGAATTAATATCAAAATTACTTGTGTGTGACGAACATGCATCTTATGATAAAACAACAATTTCACAGTAAAATTTACTCTACTTACGGTTAGGATCAAGTACAAAATGTTTGTCCTCGAACATTGACGACAATCGAAACTGACTTACCTGCACTAGATTATATTAATAACTATTAACTATTGCTAATTGATAGATGAAGGTACTGAAAAGTGTGAATTTTAAAATGATTTCAAAACGAAATAATTATAAGCTTTTGTCTGCGACATCATCTTCGTCTGCATTTCGATAATAAGTACCCTATTATTGTATGTTTTGTACTTTAATATTAGCAGTGAACTTGTAAAGTTTCATCATAATTCGTCCAATAGTTTTTGTGGAAAAGAGTAACAAATATCCATCATCAAAAGTTTTATCAAATCACAATTTGATTAAGAACGAAGCACACTTATCAACCCGGAAACGGATCGTAACCGTATCAACTCGAGGCGGTCAGTATTCTTTGTATTAAATTCCGTACTGTAAATAACGCTTACTTATCCGCACCGTAACGTAAACGTCTCGCCTCAGGTGATAGCGCAGCGAAAGGCGATACGGTGTTGATCCCTCTCCGGGTTGAAAAGTGTGCTATGACCTTTAAAAATAAAAACCTTTAGTTTTATCACTAAAGTCAATTAATATACAATACTAAAGTCCGGTCGCCGAGCAGATAGAATTTCGTCCAATGACCCCAAGCTACCCCATCCTTATCGCTCGCGCGTAATTATATTGAGGCAGCAGTGAGTGTGCGAGCGCGACAGCAATACAATTACGCGCGAGCGATAAGGAAGGCTGGGTAGCTAAGGGTCATTGGACGAAATTCTATCTTCTCGGCGACCGGACTTTACTTACCTGTACAGCTTCTAGTGGATGATTAAACATCACATTGGCATATCTATTACGGACCGCTATCATGGAACATATCACAACATGGCCCGCTAGCTCAAACACGTCTTTCAGTTCTGACTTGTCACACCTAAACTAGAAAGATAATAACTAACACATTAAAATCAACTTTTAAAAAGAATATTCAACAAAGTATTATCTCATACATATAAATATTAGCATTCAATGGGTTACTGTGAAGAAAAAAAACTCATAAAATCTCATTTTATTTTTGCAAGTAGGCTTTTACAAAGCAATATTACACGTCCCAGTATTAACCCTACCACTGCTTCAGAACAAAACTTGGGCCAGTGCTAAGAAGCAGTGCAACATTAACTTTGGGAATAGGTTTCAATGACTTACTTTCTAAAACATTCATTCAACTTACATTAGTAACATACACCCACTTAGACAGTGGTAAATTTATACCCAATGATTTGAGGAACTCTGGTTTTAATCCGTACAAGTCTGAAGATGGTTGGTCGGCAAAAAATGGGGTGTTTTCCCTATAAAATAATTAATCATTACATTAATAAAGTAATGCTGTTTATAAAACAGCAATCATACAAAAAAATTAAAACAAAATTAAATAGCCCTTGAATTACATACATTTAAAAGCTAATAGCTGGTATGGAGCCTATAGTCAGCCCTCAATAATGTATACTAGTAGCTATGAATGATAATGGAAATAATTATTTTTAACTGAACACCAATTCTTTAGAAGGTTCTCTCTTTAAGCTTCCTTCAATACATTTTTTCAGTACCATCGGCAACAGTGTTAACTATACATTGTCTGTCATGTCGTCTCATTCTATCGCAAAGAATCACCATTTGATGAGAGCAAAAACGGAAATGGATAGTTAACAGTGTGGCCATGTGTACATTATCCTGCCTCTATGTGCAAATACAATACAATAATAACAATTTATGTACTTCCTATACTCATCAAAGGCAAAACTTAAATGAAAAATTGCTTCAGAGTACTGTTACCTGTTAGCAACCAAAACTGTTTCTGTTGATATTGATTTGCCATTTTCAGAAGGTTCCGATTCTGCAACAATAATATATTTTTAATTTGCCATGGACCTGTCACCGTAAAATTATGAACTCCAAGAATTAACTATGTCAGATTATTAACTAACCTAACCTAAACTAAACCACTGTTACACCTGTATTCACAAACAATGCTTGCATAAGTGAAGCAGCAAATCGAACGCACAGCGTTCAATAGAGCTCTGTGATTGGTTCATATGTCACCCTGTGCGTCCACAAGCACTGTGAGACCTCATAGTATCGTTTGTGAATATGGGTGTTAGTTTCAATCTCACACTTTAAATTTTATTATAAACTGACGGAGTTCACAGTCACTGTGACATAATTAAGTAGGAACTTCCAATCTTATTTAGTGTTCCTTTCATTAAAGCGAAATGACAGAACGCTCCTTCACCCAATTCAATTTTTATGGTAATTAAGGACGCCAAAAAGCATCTATGCTTACATGTTTCCGTCTTTTTGTCACAGACGAGCTCAAAACAAAAGAAATAAAATCTACAAGTACTTACCAATTTTTCTTTTACGTGATTTTATATCTCCAGGACTGTTATCAGTTTCTTTGGTTGGGTTCCATGTGTTACTTGGAGACTCTTGTTTATAATCGTCGTCAGACAAATCTTGCTGCTTGTTATTCTCCATGGCATCCCCTGGAAATGGAAAACCCTACTCTATTACTAGCTGACCCGAAGTACTTCGTACCGCCAGTAAAAGTTGTTTAAAACATTATGTCGCCTATGTTCATCAGGCTTAGTGTAGGATTCTAATAGGAAAGGGCAGAAAAATGCCTTAGAAATGCCGAACTTGTACACATGTACAAAACCTATCAAGTCAATTCAAGTGTTCTCTTTAATGACATGATGCAAATATTGGCCACGTATGTTCAAAATACAAAGATGCTATAGAATTTGTTATATGGATTTTATAAATGAAATTAAATCGAATAAATCAACAAAATAATCGTAAATAAACCACACCGGATTTGTTTTTTTGAGAAACGTCAATCGAATGAGGTGTCAATGTCAATGTCAAGAAAATTCACTATTTTAACGTTTACTTCTTCTTCTTCTTTTTTGATGTTGGCAATACACGTTGAGGCCGACATGATTTGTGCCATTTTCAAGTTTTAAGTGAGACGAGTTATAAAAAGGTTAAACGAATAACAATAATCCAAAAAACAACAAACGCTTTCCTTTGATATCACCCGGAAGATGACTCTGCATTTCTCTATCGATAGGTAAATAATAGATAACAAAACAGATTTTGGATATTATGATGGAATTATAAGTTTTCATGTAAGAAAGTGTTTTTTTGGAGATTTCACCCACAGTGTGAGATATTATGATGTCGCCATTTGGATGGGATTTTTAGTTGAAGAAAAAGACAGAATAATAGAATTTATGACTAGGCAGAATAGTTGCTATTCATAGCCTATTCCAGTAGAAGCCAATAAAAAAAACTGCCAGTTGACATTGTTGACACTTAAATGACAGTTTTAAAAATTAAATTTCTTTCTTTTCACGCTGCAAAAAAAATTAGAAATCTTTTTTAAATTGGTGAAAAAATATAAATTTTTGTACTATAATGTCCAAGAGTGAAATTCTTTACGTGAAAGGCATGAATGTGGTAGTTGTTTGGTGATACACAAGCAAAATATACAAAACATGGAGGGAGGTAAGCTCGAGATGCTTGATAGTGTTTTCTTTAATTTCTAGTCTGAAAGCGAAGGTGATGATGGAGACAATGATATCTGGGATGATAGAAAGCTGAACGACGCTTACGACAAGGCGCTGCGAATTGCCAATGCAGAGGTTGCGAAGAGAGTAGCCATGTCGACCAACACTCAAAATAAAAATAAAGAAGGTAACAAAAAATTGATGAAAATATTTTTTTAACAGATAGGTAAATTACGGAACTATTATTGGAAGATATTCTTTGATAATTTACCTCAGATACCTACGCCCGTATTCACAAACATTACTATGAGGTCTTAAAGTGCTCGTGAACGCACAGGGTGACATACGAACCAATCACAGAGCTCTATTCAACGCTGTGCGTTCAATTTGCTGCTTCACATAAGCAAGCATCGTTTGTGAATACGGGCGCTAGTATAAAGTGAAAAATGTTTATTTCGTTAACAACAACAATTAATAGGATTTGAGGTGGACTCTTGTAAGTCCAATGGTACCTGTGCCAGAAGGAGTCACTCTCCCTTAACAAATGAACATTAAACATTGTTTAAAATAATACCTAATTATTCTGTTTACCTGATCTTATGTTGTTTTCAATGGCTGTGTGAGTAAATGAAGATTGTTGATCTAGTTTTAAAACATTAAATTTTAAACTAATAACAATAGAACTTCATAGGTAGATTTAATTATTATTGTATTATGTTTTTGTCAGGACAACCCAACAAAAAGAAAGGCAAACCCATAACAAAAGATGCACCAGTTAAAGGCAATAAAAGTCAAAACACACAGTGGAAGGCAGGCATGCCTTGCAGAGCGATTTACGAAGCAGACGGTATTGAGTACGAAGCAGTTATTCTGAGAATCATCACTGATAATGAGTGTGTTGTGAAATATTTAGGTAAATAATACTTAATTAATATGTAAATGTTTTTGAAAATAATTACCATAGCCGTACCCTTAGAAGATCGCTGAGGTAGCAGCTGCGCGCTCTGTATGAAAATACCTAAGTGTCGATATTGCAATTTGGCGCTGTAATCTATTTCCTTTCAATATTGTTCAATTTAATTTGTCATTCTATAATCCGACTTCGATTCGGTTTCATCTCTTAGAAAGTAATTTCATGTAATTTTTATTTCTTTTAATTAAATATATTTTAAATTAATTGTTTTTTTTTTCGATCCTCCGGCTGCAGTATTAAATCCACTTTTTTAGGCAATACATCTATGTTCTTCAACTAATTTATATTCCAGTTTATGCTTTGAGTCATCAACATTTAATGAAAAATAATGTTTCAACTTGATCATATTTCCAGGTTATGGAAACGCAGAGGTTGTATCGATTAGTACCTTGAAACCCTCCCTGGGGAAAGACGAACAAGCACGTCAAATACAGGAAGCGTTAGAAGAGGACAAGACTGATGAAGCGTACACAAGCCTGTCGCCGAACATGGATAAAATGGAATGTGTCAGCGATACAGCTCCTACCGCTGAGAGCACAGGTAACTTTTCACTGTGACTGATATCTGAAATTAAAATGAGTCTCAAATGTGAAATTTATTTAAGACTATACTATAGGCAGTCGAAGATTTTCAAGCCAGTCCTAACAGACGACAATGCAAGTAATTCTACTTGTGATCACGGTTTTTAGGAACACAGCCATAACGTCCAGCTATGTACACACAACCACACTGTTAACTATCCATTTCCATTTTTGCTCTCGCTCTCATCAAATGGTGATTCTTTGCGATAGAACGAGACGACATGACAGGCAATGGATAGTTAACACTGTTGCCGATGGTACAGACGACGGCAGTGGTATTAAGGGCGAGTTTGCAACAAAACTGGGTAACCTGATGTGCTGTTGTGTGTACTTTGTACACATAACTAATGGTTGTGGATGAGGCTTGATGTTTTCAGTTCCAAATTAATGTAAATAAATATTGGTTGTATTGTTTGATGAAAGTTATTATTATGTGGAATAAGTTATGCTATTGCATTATTAGGTTTTCCCTGTAAAGATAGTGTAAATGTGTGAAAAATGTGAAAATAAATAAATATTTTAATAATAAAACAAGTACTATGTAACAATTTCAGAGCAGACAATCCCTAGAAAGAAGAAAACTGGTAAAAAGAAGAAGAATCAAAATGCTAAGGTGCCCAATGGGTTTGAGATGCCCAACGGCTTTGGAATGCCTCAGATGCCGTTCCCGATGCCAAATATGTCAGCGCTTAGAAACGTGAGTATATTTTTCTTGCAAACTGTTACAATTTGGTACTAATTACCATAAACAATTCATAAATAATATCACACATTGAAACATTCACAACATAGTGAAATTTTTGCTGTATTAGTTGGTAATTTTCTTTCAAGTGTAGTCTTGTAAGAATAACTAATAAGGTTTGTGTCAAGTGAGTTGTTTTTGGAGTTATTATTGGAATTGGAGGTTTTACCCGTTGTGTATTCCTATTATAAATATTTTTTCTTAAAATAATGCAATCTGTCTCCTTCATGGACATTCAGCAACATGTGTAATAACAGTCATCTTTCGTGGTCCAGGTCCAGTGACAAGGCCACGTCAATATAAAAGGACAGATTCGCACATGTCCCTGTCTTCTTTGAACTTTGCCGTATTTGGTATTATTGACACAAATTTAGAGGCGTAAATAAATAAATTGGATTTTTTTACTGTGGAAACATGCGTAAAAGTGTACGGTAAACGTTTCCAGCTAGGTCCGATAGATATGCCGCTGCCGCCGCCGCCACCGGGGCTTGGCTCGCGGGGGGAGGGAGAGGAACAGGCCGTCTCCTCCATGCTGCTCAGCTGGTACATGAGCGGGTATTACACCGGGCTATACCAGGGGCTCAAGAGGTGAGCTAGTGTCTGTACCTCTAAAGCCTGGTCCGTGAGCACGTAGAATTTTGTCCAATGACCCCAAGCTACCCATCCTTATCGCTCGCGCGTAATTATATTGCTGTTGCGCTCGCACACTCACTGCTGCCCGTCGCACAGTCGCGACAGCAATATAATTACGCGCGAGCGATAAGGATGGGTAGCTTGGGGTCATTGGACAAAATTCTACGTGCTCCGCGACCAGACCTTAGTGTCCGTCAGTACCTCTAGCATGAACAACTTTCGTCTTCGAATCATTTGCGTATTCGACAAAATTCGATACTCAACCTTCGAATTAAACGATAACGTGACAATTTTGATTCCCCAAATAAGTTTCGTGCAACCATTTCTCATATTAAGTTCACTTTACGACATGTTCACAAGGGCGCTGTTGTAGTTTTCGTACTAAATCTTTTGATGGCGATTCGAATACGCAAACGATTCGAACTCGAAAGTTTTTCGTGCTAGCCGTAACATCCCCGCGGGAGCAGGCCGTCTCCTCCATGCTGCTCAGCTGGTACATGAGCGGGTTACACCGGGTTATATCAGGGGCTCAAGAGGTGAGCTAGTTCGTTAGTTCGTTTCAGCCGAAAGACGTCCACTGATGGAAAAAGGCCTTCTCCAAGGATTTCCACAAAGACCGGTCCTGCGCCGCTTGCATCGATACATCGATAGGGATGTATTTTAAAATAATTGTCTTTAGAGCACTAATAAATCAATAACGTAACCTTTAGCCTACGCGCAGACCACCGATATTTAGTTGGTCGATAGTTGGGTCGGGCAGTATGGACGGAGATGTATGAAAGTATACACATTACATCGATTTGGTATTATTGGTATCGGCCGATTCTTCATACAAATTAAAATCAGGCCCAACTATCGGCCAACTAAAAATCTGTGGTAGGCTAAAACGATTGAACAACATAATTGGAAATTCTAGCAAATGTAATAAATCGTGAGTTTCCTAATCAAATTCTCGCCTTACAATCTCACATATTAACTTTCAACAACGTTTAAATAAAGTCTATATTATTTTCAGGGCCAAGGAAAATCGCAGCAACGTCTAGAAAAACACAAAGTCCCTTTTCATTTATTTTATTTTAATCTCGCATAAAATTAACATAACTACAAATAAAAATAGACTTGCCGTTTATTCTTGTAAAATAAATAAGATTATGCCTCCAGTTTTCTGTGTAGCTATGTACAAAATATACATTTGGACGCCATTTTATATTGATATACATTTTTTGTACAAGTTAATTTTCTATCTGATTGGTGGGTCAAATTGTGTTAAGGTGTCTGCTCACTATACTGTTTCAAACTATGACGTACTTAAGGTCCTATGTCCCCTAGATGGGGCTGAGGGCGTCCACAGCAGTCTTCCATCGCGTTCGGTCTTGAGCAAATCATGATGATGCTAAAAACTTATCATTTATTCGGTGATGAACCAATTTTGTGAACGTTACCCGAGACAAGCTGTTCAGTATAAAAATAAATATAATAGTATAAAATACTCGCAGGACCGGGAGCGTTACGAGTGCATTGCTGGCCTTTAATCAACAATATTTTAGTTCAGGACATACTCTTAATACTTGGGTATACTGATAATAATTCATATAAATAGCGAATATTCTTTTACATTAATATAGTACGGCCATGTATTACAGTGTAGTGAGCAGACACCTTTAGATTGAAATAAGTCTATGCATGAAATTATTTTAGGCAGAACTTTTCTATCACATAATATAGTTCCACGTAGAATAACCGAAGTATAAATTAAGTGTCTATAAAGCATGTATCTTTTATCAAACCAAGAAAATAGTCACTTTCAAATATAGTATAATATTCAACAATATATTTTGATTTTATTTATAGTCAGTGGCGGATTAACGTATAAGCACTACAAGCACGTGCTTGGGGCCCCAGTTCTCCAGGGGCCTCCATCCTCTGCTGGCGCGCCAGCAGAGGATTCATTTCATACCTACATTTTATCGAGATTTAGCCTATGTTACTCGTAAGTAATGTAGCTTTCAAATGGTGAAAGAATATTTAAAAACGGTCCAGTAGTTTTTGAGCCTATTCATTACAACCAAACAAAGTTTTCCTCTTTATAATATTATAGTGTAGATAAAGTAAAGTGCGTTTTCACAAATATACAAGTGGCGTTTAAAGAAAGAAAGAAAGAAAAATTTATTACGATGAACATCACTTATACATGACAGAGAAAAAGACAGAAATGGCACATAAATATTACAAGGAAATAAAAAGTGAACTGAACAGTGCTATCCTGTCGCAACAGCGATGCCCATCGCAATGGGATTCCACTCAGCATATGCCGTGGCCCACGGTGGGGAAGGCCACGACGCTGGTTTTCAGTGGGCCCCATGCCGAGTGGAAGTCACGGACACTAACCTAAACTGCATATCAACAAGGCCGTTTAGATATAAATATATAACAATAATAATAATGTGCAAACATTTGTTGAATAAACATAATTATTGTAAATTAATCCTTCAAGGCCCGCGAATCTAGACACAATAGATAATCAATTGTTATGACATCAATTAATGCCGTCTGGGACTCAAGCGGTTAAAGATACTACATATTAAAATAATACCCGTATTAAAATAATAATAATAGTGTATACAGGGTGTCCCGTAATGCAACGTCAAGCCGGAACTGGGTGTTGAGGCAAGTTACGCTGGTTATCAGAAAAATATAAAAAAACAATCTATGTGGCATTTTGACAAAGTAATAGGCATTTTTAAAAAAAAAACAAAATTTACTCCCGGTGACGGTCTTTTTACTCGTGTTGCCACAAATCTTCACTTTTTCCAAAATTTTTTTTTGTTAAGTAACCCTGAATAATGCTTCTCTAAATTGTTTTCAAAATTACGAAACCAGCTGCTCCAGCTTGGATGAAAAAATACATTATTCCCAAAAAAAAATTCAAAATAAAAATTTTGCCTAGTTTAAACTGACTGTACTGAAAAAAAATTGTACTACGCGAGTATGGCAAGTGACGTCATAATTTGGCGCATTTAGTAAGGATTCCAAAATGGTATAACACTTGGTAAATTCTTGCTGTGATTGTCGACAATTTTTGTTTTTTTGGAAATAATCCCGTTTTTAACTTTATCTACCTTGGTTAATTATTATTATTCTAATGTGCCCAAAATTCAAGTTTCTGGCTTAAGTAAGGTGGAGAAGCCATTTTAAAAGGTATGAGCGGAACGGAGAGGGCCATCTTACCAAGCAGGGATGTTATGGATATCCGTAACCGTAACCGATACTATCGGATATCCGAAATAAAAAAATATCCATAACCGTAACCGAAACAGATTCAAAAGTTACGGATAGTTTCGGATAAAGGTGGAGTCTTAAGGGTACAATAAATTCCAAACAGAAGCACTATTCAGGGTTACATAACAAAAAAAAATTTAGAAAAAGTGAAGATTTGTAGCAACACGAGTAAAAAGACCGTCACCGGGAGTAGATTTTTTTTTAATGCCTATTATTTTGACAAAATGACACATAGATTTTTTTTTTGATAACCAGCATAACTTGCCTCAACACCCAGTTCCGGCTTGACGTTGCATTACGGGACACCCTGTATGTGTATATGTATATTTATAAATGTATATATATATTAAAATAAACATGCGATGTGAAAAAAGAAGAGAAACCAGAGAAGTGTGCTAGTGTAAGACTAATATCATTGTGGTTGCGTTTAGAATCTTTCACAGCTTAATGATTACTAACTTCTTTGCTGAACGATCCTTCTCACAACTAAAAAGGTTAAAAAAACCCGCAAAGAACAAAAATCCGTCCAGACAAGCTTAATTATTTAGCATTAATGTGTATTGAGGCAGACATACTTCGTCGGATAAATTTCGACGATGTAATCTCGGAGTTTGCTCTGATTAAGGCAAGGAAAATAATGTTTTAAGTTTTACATTTTACCTACTACACTTTCTATTTTGATGAACTTACATTTTATACTTTATACCTTCCATTCCATTCCTTCCATTTCCATTTAAGCAATAGAGGGCCTACACAGGCTCTGTGCTTAAGGCCTCGGATACTCTTAATCCGCCACTGGTTATAGTTGATCTCAAAAAGTCCCTGAGGTGGAATTGTGTAAAGCAATCGTAATCATTTGACAGTTCATAATGTACGATTATTCTGTCAAACGCTTTGTTTATCTGACTTTATCGTACGTTATGAACTGTCAAATGATAACGATTGCTTTACACAATTCCACATCTTGATTATTTTCAGTTCCAAAAAATGTAAATAATAATTTACGGCCAGTAGATTATTTAATTGAATTGAAATTGAGTATTTAATAATCACATACATACGCAGATGTATATTCTATAACAGGTTATATTATTTGTAACATATTTTGCACACATTAATAAAGATCTCACAAACATTCACCAATTACATCTACGAGAATGACTAAGCTTTATACAGGGTGTCCCAAAAACAATGGATAACCTTATAACTACTGATAAACCTCACTATGTAATTTTAAAATATTGACCATATACATTTTTAAAAATTGGCACCTGCGATTGCGATGCGACACTGAGAATTAAATTTTCTTTTTTTTTTTAATTCTTTTTAACTAGTTTGTTGAATTGCATGAGAGCAACTAAAATTTATAACAGGTAAGGTAAGATCAAAATTTTATATAAGCTTAGATCATGAGGCGTATCAAAAGTTGCAGTGTTATCCATTGTTTTTGGGTCATCCTGTATTAACAGATTCATAAAACATGGCAAGTTTATTCATAACATGAATGGACTAACAATATTTACATCTAGCAAAATATACAAATACATTATCGATTTTATTTATTCGGCACACACGGTCGGTGCGATTTGTTTGATAAGAAAAGTATTTTTCTCGGGATTTTATGTGGCAAATAACATCTAGTTTTTGAGTTTATAAGAATAGATCGCAAACCTCAGATTATTTATTGAATAGGGATGTTTCCTGGGTCAAAAAGCAAGAGTTTTAATTAGTCCGTCAGTTAACTTATCAAAAAATACTCTACACGTATTTTTCACTTTTTCAAACTAATGAAAATTTAAAGAGATAAAGCGCGCCAAAGTTCATAAGAAGAGGCCCGTGACGTCAATGCGTGCATAAAAGTGCCGCACGTTGTGACGTCGTGCGGAACTTCAACGCACCATAAGTATGTAATTATTTGTTAGATTGACAAATAAAAATATATGTGTCCAATATTTTTTGATATTAAACATGACGGACTAAAAAAATTTTTTTAGGAAACTAGCCTATTAGGTAGGCTTGCTGTGAATCTAGAATCTGTATCGCGAAAAGACAGTCCGAGAGTCAGACCCGGTCGAGTTAACTGCACATATAGCAGCCGTGACGTCACATCGACGGTCTGGTACGGACGGGGCGAACGCGGCGGAAAGGGGTCATCCATAAAGTACGTCACACGTTAAGTGGGGGGGAGGGGGTCGACAAAGTGTGACATGGTGTGACAAGGGGTGGGAGGGGTCTTAAGTTTCGTGACATCACATTTCAATTGTTTCAAATATTTGATATAATGTTGATTTCATAAAAAAAACACTTAATTTAAATGGGAATAAAACTAATTTCGGACTGCTGTTTTAATTTAATAATTTTTCGATGTAAAATTGCAAAACATGTGACGTCACACTAGGGGGGGGGGGGGGTCTCAGAAATGTGACCACCTGTGACAAGGACGGGGGGGGGCTCAAAAAATCATGAAATTCGTGTGACGTACTTTATGGATGGCCCCAAAGGTGTGCGAGCAAGTGAAAGGGAAAGTCGTTTAGCTTACTTAGCCGACACAGTTTTTCATAGTGTTTGTATAGTTTGTACAAAACAATGGAAAACACCGTCAGCTATGCATTGCAGAAGTTACTACAGTATCTCGTATCATATAAACCGTATGTGCCTAATCGTTAAAGTCCAATTTTGAACATGTCGGTGCAAAAAGTATGCTTCATTTGAAAATCATACAATTTAAAGTTTTCTTCTCGTTTGCTTATTCATAAACGATTCGTTTTGCTAGCGGACAGTCAAATTTTGACTTAATTTCCATAGAATTAGAGCTATATTTAACTGCCCGAGCATATGTCGATAAAGGTTACTTTACTGTCATTATCGCTGTCAAAAAGTTAATAACATGTGAACCAATTTGAAAAGGCTTTTTTTTTAATTTTTAATATTATAAATGCGAAAGTAACTCTGCATGTCTGTCTGTTAGGCTTTTACTCCTAAACCACTTAACCGATTTTGACGAATTTTCGTGTAGAGATAGTTTAAGTCCCGGGAAAGGACATACAATACTTTCGTAAAGTGGTCCTAACACTCTGTCATATGCTTTAATTGGTTCTAATAAGGTGCATTTTGCAGCTGACATTTATATTTCGAAGTTTTACCTGAATACCGCGGTTTGGTTTAGATGCAGTTTTTTTTGCGCACAGCGAGTTCACAATTCCGTTTGCAGTAAAGGTCATATTAACGCGCTAGTAAAACACTGTGGTTCGAAAGCAACGTTGGTATTTGCGCACAGCGTAGGTTTTATACGTTTAACAATAAAGGTCACAACATAACGCGCTAAAAGAAGTACTTTTCGGTCGAAGCAACGTTTGTATTTGCGCTCAACGTAGTTTCTATTCCGCTGCAGTAAATTTCACTCTAGCGTGCCGAATTCAACGCGCTAAGTCCCATTGTTGCAACGTTAGTTTTTGCGCACAGCGTAGGTTCTATTCCGTTAGTAATAGAGTTCACACTAGCGTGCTGAGTTCATGCGTGTCGTGGCTGAGGTCAATGGTGGCGGGCGGCACACCTGGGGTGGCGGCGCCTTCGCCCGGCGGCGTGCTGGTTGGTGGCCTGGAAAGAAAAAGAACAGACATGAGAAAAAAAATGTACTAATTTTGGAGGAAATTAAATCGAATCAACGCCCTTTATAAAGAAGAAGACGTAGGTAAGTTTTCTATTGATCTAGTAAGAAAAATAGTAAGTAACAGTTCTATTTGTTATCATGCTTTTTATGACAACAATGATCATCTATTTGCCATTATATGCCTCCACTTGTATAGTTTCAGATTTTGCACGTAGTTTGAAATTAATTGAACTGATCGTTTCATTATTTGAACAGTCAATGCATTTATTTTTCTTAAGCCTTATTGGAGATATGACTTCTCATCATCATCATAATATCCGCCATTGGCAGCCTACTGTTGGACATAAGCTAAGCCCCAAGAAACGCTCTTTTCCTCCGTCACTGCCCTAGCAGTAGCTACTGCTAAGGTAGTTGCAAGCAAGAATGGGGAACATGTTTCCCATTCTAGTTTCAAGCGTTACAACTCACCTAATAATATAAGACCCTCCTTGCTGAGCGTTATAGGATGAGTATAGGGTGCCCCAGCCATGTTCAGATTCCCCAGCCAAGTATTGGTCAATTGACTCATCAATCATCATATCCGCCATAGTCAGCCTACTGCTGGTCATAAGCCCCCAAGGAGCGCTATTTTCCTCTAGTCATTGCCCTAGCAGTAGCGTGTGAGACGCTCTTTTCCGACATGTTCCCCGTTCGAGTTTCAAGCGTTATAACCACAGATCACAGAAACTAAAGGGAGATGTGACAAGGGGGCGTGGCCGGTGTCGCATCAATATGCCCAAAAACAGAACACATTGCTTGCTCGTGACAGCAATAATGTAAACAGTTTACATTGCTTGCGTAGTACTAATATCGCAGTTGATAATGAGCACATACTTTGATTACTTCGTGTGTGTGAATTTCTAATGCGACACTGAGTTTCGAACTCAGCGCATTAGTTGGCATCTCTCTATATCTCTATGGTTTCAACACTCACCTAATAATATAAGGCCCTCCTTGCTGCAGCAGCGTTATAGGATGCGTATACGGCGCCCCAGCCATGCCATGGAAACTCGAGATTCCCCATAGTCAGCCTACCGCTGGTCATAAGGCTCCAAGAAGCCCTCTTTTCCTCTAGTCACTGCCTATCAGTAGCGTGGGAGACGCTTTTTTCATGTTCCCCATTCGAGTTTGAAGCGTTTCAACACTCACCTAATAATATAAGGCCCTCCTTGCTGCAGCAGCGTTATAGGATGCGTATACGGCGCCCCAGCCATGCTGTGGAAGCTCAGATTGCCAAGCCCAGTGTTGTTCAGATGTCCGTTGCCCAGTAACACGCCATTCGACGTGTTGAGGTTCGGCGCGGCAGCCAGCTCTTGCGTGCGAAGAGCTTTGACTAGGTTCGTCTTCTCTTTCTGCCACACGAACACGTTGTGCACCATCGCGCAGCCGCAGAAGACTATTCCCACTCCGATAAACACTGACGTCACGATCGCCGGCGTTGAGTGGAACTGGATGAAGGTGTACAGGATTATGCCTGGAAGGTGTAAATGAAAATGAATTATTTATTTGCTTTTAAGGTGGAAGATGGTAACATAATGGGTTGACCTCACGTCAAAAGAGAAAAAGGGTTTTTAGTAAAATAGATCTATTCGTTTCTAATATCAAAGACAAGTCCCGTTCGTTCTTTCGTTCGTTTCAGCCAAGACGTTCACTGCTGGATAAAGGTCTCCCCCAAGGTTTTCCATAATGAACGGTCCTGCGCTGCCCGCATCCAGGCTCTTCCCGCGACCTTTACCAGATCGTCGGTCCACCTAGTTGGAGGCCTGCCCACGCTACGTCTAAAATAGTCGTCTAAAATAATATAGACCTATTCGTTTCTAATATCAAAGACAAGTTCCGTTACCCCTCTTGTACTAAGCTAATATGCTTGTGTTACGAGTGGGTTCACCACAATAATCGGCGGCGGGATTCGAACCCGCTCTCCTCGGATGTCGAGTCGGCCAATCTGAGACTTTCACCGTTCGGCTATCGTGACTTCATTTACTATCACCAGTTGGCGTCACTGGCGAGTTCATTCCTGTCACTCACTAGTGGCGCCAAATAGTGAGTCCAACTACAATAGAGCCATCATTTGATGGGTCTTCTGTCCTCGCTCATTCAGATTATTACACCTGATTGAGTTAACTGCGCACCTGGCAGCGGTGACGTCACATTGATGCTCTGGTACGGAACAGTGCGAATGCAGGAAAGTGTACGAGTGAATGCGAGGGAGAGTCGCATTCCAGCGAGGTGCACGGTTAGTTTGATTTAGTTGTGTTGTGAGGCTATATGTATCTAAATATATAAAAGGAGAAACTGACTGACTGACAGATCAACGCACAGCCTAAACGGCTAAACGTAGGCACTTGAAATTTGGAAGGAACGTAGCTTAGGTAGGTACCGTAGAGGTGCACTAAGAAAGGAATTCCCGAAATTCCCACGAGAACGGGAGTAAGCGCGAAAAAACATTTGTATGAAAAAATCTGAACCGCGTAAGATAGAAGGGGGTAAAACGGGATCCACGCGTACGAAGTCGCGGGCGGCCGCTAGTTTTTATAATAATTCTGTTTTGCTTAAGGTCAGCTGGGAGAGAATGCCACATGGCATTAAGCTCGCCTTTGTGTAGGTACGGATCATTCTTATGTATGTGCAATAAAGTCTTTAAATAAATAAATAAATTAAAGCAATTAAGTAAAACACTGACCTGTTAAAAATACTGGTATTGATATAAAGAAGCCTCCGACGGCGCACACGCGGGTGATCGCTGACTTCTGGAGGTATTTGTTTGATCTGAAAATAAACAAACAGTAATTATTACTAATTGAACCACAACTAGGTACGTACTTTATTATTGTTAGAGATATAAATAAGATAAAAATTATGCCGGGTTCGTTCTTTTCTCGAGTGAAAAACAAGTTACCGATTGCCTTTTAAGAAAAACTTTTAAGAGAAACTAAAAAAGAAAAGCAAAAAGGCACTAATAGAAGACACTTCACCACTTTAGTAGAGATTTAAAGTTAGAAGAAACACTGCGAATTCCAATACTCGCGCGATTTGAGTAATTTGACTAACTTACTCGACAGAAAAAAATGTTTTATAACTTTAAAGTTAGGATGTTAAAAAATCCTAATGGCGTGCAAGAATGGATGGATAACTCATCAAAACATGTCATTTAAGTTTATTAAACAAGTCTAGTTTCTTTGGTAAACTAGCTCATGAGGTGTAGTCTACCTCTAGTCACGTATTTTTCTGATCTTATCATAAAGATAGGGCTTAATAGCAATGACCACGTTCTGAAGTATAGCATCTGCGATTGTTCTATGATTAGTATAATGCCTTGATCACAGGTAACGAGCAAACGGGCGAGACAGTGCTTTCGGCCGAGTACTCGATGTGTATGTACAATACGCCGAGTGCTCGGCCGAGCGCTCGAGTATGTGACTCGCTCACTGTCTCGACCGAGTAAACATTTTACTGTCTTGCCAGTTTACTCGGTACGTGTGATCAAGGCTTAATGATCTTAGATAAATTATTTCCTTGCGATCACATGCACAACATATTTTAATACGTGTCTTTCAATAGAGCGAGAATTTTCATCCATATATGATTGAAAAGTCAAAAGATATCTAATTAGATACTATACCCTATTAGACCTAATAGAGGCCCTTGCGTGCACTAAATTGGTTGGAGGTGCCCTATTCCTTACTAAAAGGGATGTCTTTGAAATGGAGTGATTTGACCACATTGGAATTCCCGATACCTACTTGATTTTTGTGTACCTAATTTAATAATAATATACAAATTGTGTTGCATGTGGTCATAGGTCTATGTAGTGTTACGTACGGGTAATTTAGTTTTTCTCTTGAACAGTCAGCGTCAAATAGTTTGTGACACCTAAAGTGGCCAAAAAGTCGACAACACAACCTTATTCCAATTTTAATAAAAAAATTGGCCAAGTGCGTGTCGTGCCACGCGCAGTGTAGGGTTCCGTAGTTATCCGTCGTTACCACAATATATTTCAGAAGCATGCAATTACTTCATCTAAAGTAACTTTTCATATTTTTCTTCTAAGGATTTTTTACTGGTTAAGAAATTTTAAAATACATGAGTCAAATAACTATTACTCTTAAACTAACTGATGTATATTAACCGTTATAGTTTTCCTTGAAAGTTCATGAAAAGCAGTATTATTATTATTATTAGTAGTGATTGAAATAAATAATTATTTATTTATTTATTTATTATTACGAATTTTTCAAGATTTTTCAAGCCAACAGTGTAAACTACTAATTTCTATGGCATTAAGCTAAAGTAAACTCTGGAGGCGTGCGCTTAGGCGGACTCATAGCAATATGATATCGTCGGGTAAACCTCACACATCCGACGTTTAACGTTTCACGTTAGCAGTTCCGATCCGACGGATGTGCAGTAATAACATCTTCGTTGGTTTTATCGAGCGATACTTAGTTAACAGTCGGGAGTTAAAAGTTGTCTATCTACACTTAGGTTGGGTTGCACCAAACTCATCCAAACTCCATACAAAAAACACCGGTTATCGTTATACACTCAACATCAAATAAACCGCACCTTCCGCGACGCGAACTTTAAAGATTTTCTTCTGACACAATCATGGTACCCCAACAATATTGGTGTTATTTGAAAGCCCAATAAATATCCTTAAAGAAAAATACATTTCATTTCTAAATAAATTATTAACATTTACCATAAATGTGACTTGAAAATAGACCTCACTATGGGCTCACCTCTGGGATCAATTAGACCAATTTTCATGGTTATAAAACCAAATAAAGATCTCACGTGTCCTCTTTAACAGATGGATAGCGATTAATCTCAACTTAACAGTTTTATAGACATAAAAAATGGCTATAGCGTAACTACCTATTTTTTGAAGAAGTGACTCTGGATCCTTGTAAAGACACATTTTTGGGGTAAAAACCTTTCCTTTAATGAAATGAAGTTTAGAACTAGGCTTTCAAATGGTACCAACGTTGGTGGGAAGTGGGGATGCATACGTTTGATAAGTGCTTGTCGCGGGAGGTGCGATTTATTTGATGCCGAGTGTAGTTACGGTCAAAGTTAGGTGGTACAACTCAGCCTTAGATTAAGTTGCACCACCTTATTTTAACTGGTGTTTTTTGTATGGAGTGTGACAGACTTTTCACGTTTGTTAAAGTTAAAGTAAGATGGTACAACTCTGCCTTATTATTTTACTGCTAAAGTTTGCAACTTTTTGAGATCGTTTGTAGAAAGTAGGTAATCAATTTTTAGTGACATACGTATTATAAAATTACAAAAATCAAAATGATGCTAAAGCTAATGCAATAAATGTTTGTATTGCGTGGGGAACGAACCTGCGACCTCTGGCATAGTTATAAAAACCGTTGGCAAAGAGACAGTTGTGTCAACGGTTCTACACCTGTCCGTTACAGTTCGTTGCATTGCAGTAAAAATAGGGATAGGTTATGGAGGCAACGGGACACCATGCTTAGCATCGTGGCTCTTATATTTTTGTATTAGGTGTGATTTTGCAAAAAAAAATAATCATACTCATGTGCTGTTGACTGTACTTTCCATTGATAAAAATCCGAAAATTACTTAATTTATTGTAGTGACAACTAAAAGGACCAAAAAATTGACAACACAACCTTATTCCAATCGTAACAAAGACATATTGCGAACTTTTTGGCTGCTTTGGGTGCCACGAACTCTTTGATACTGCCACATGAGTAAAGAATACTGCTCTACCATACCATGCATTGATACTTTTGATACCACACTGCAAACTTACATTTGCAGTTAGATCGTACGGGAACACGTGTTCAACAACTGCAAGACTTTGGAACAAGTGCAATGGACTATGAAATGGTGGACTCTAACTCTACCATTGCTAGGCGATGTAGACGAATATCATCGTGTCATTTGACTCCAAATAAGGATAGTAACAAAAATTACGGAACTTGCATTGATGTTTTTGGATTTATATCGCGTACAGTCGATGAAATGCTCCTAATGCTCCTACAGCAGTGGCATTAGGTTAAAACAAATATAGTTACTTCACTGGCCATTTAAAATAATACAAACCCACACGCTCTTCCGCGTACAAATTATACTTATGTAAGTAATCATACCACTAATCTGAGACCGTTTGCCAAAACAATATGTTAATCCTTTGGGTCTGTAGGCCAATTGGTCGCTCTAAGTCGACTTTCAAGTTTGAGAACTGCTCATGCATTGCCAAAAACGATTCAAGGTCTGGTGATCGGATCTTGAAGAAATAACGAGTTTAACATTTCAAAGTATATTTTATGATAACTGCTTAATTCTTTACACGCCACGTGTCATTTTATTTCTGTAATATGTAAGTATTTAAGATAATTTCAATTTTCCACAGTTTTTGTTACAAACTGAAAATCCCCCTTTAGCGTATTATATAATTAAAAATTTTCATACCTATTCAGTGTCATACACGAATAGAGGAAAAATATTCCTCCACAGCATCAAGCCACTCAGGCGGACGTAAGATAATGAGGGTTTTCGCGATTGAAAAATCCGCCAGATGGCAATACGTAGACGGGAGGTCCAAATGCTGCATGATTGGTGGATTTTGACATATCTGTCAATGTCATGTCAAAAATAACCAATCATGCAGCATTTGGACCTCGCGTCTACGTATTGCCATCTGGCGGATTTTTTAATCGCGAAAACCCTCATTCTAAGCTTTTAGCGAGTTTCGCTACCCTACTTACTTAATAGATTCCTCCTTTAAATTTTACTACATGACTACAAATCTAAACCACGGTAATACTTAGTACCTACTTATTACCGTGTCTAAACTCTGTATTTGACGTCCTTTCCTGAAAGGAGTTCAAATTGAAACTTTTGGACGTTACAGAGTTTAGATTTGTGGAAACGTAGTCTCATCATCATCATCTCAGCCACGTCTCAGCCATAGGACGTCCACTGCTGAACATAGGCCTCCCCCAATGCTTTCTATGCTGCCCGATGAATGTAGAGTCTATCCAATCTATAAATATTTTCTTGGGAATACCTTTTTACTCGTATGAAATAGGTACTTAGGTATTTTGTGCTATCACGAGTTTTATGTTCTGAAATATAAGGTCTAGAGCGAAGGTTAAAGAATTCATTTAACCATTAGAACAACCAGCAATGCATGTATGCAAACAATGCGCGATGAAATACTCTAGGATAAGATTATGTTATCAGCGGGCTTCGCCGCGTCGCGCCTTATTCGTAAGGCCAGCTGACTCGACCGGTTTTACTCTCCGTCGCTACTCTATACAACGAATTCCAAGCAACAGGTACGTACTATAGTTGTGACACTGCTTTCCAAACTTTCCTAAGAACGCAAACTGCAGAGAGTCTTGCATTTCGTTGTATTTTGCAGACATAACATCTTGTCTTGACATAGTATGGTTTGGTAAAGCACATAATAATTTGGTAGGTAGGTACAAACAATATTATTTCACGAACTTAGGATGATAATAAGAAAACACTATCTCGTCAATTCATCAACATTTAACGTTATTTAATTACTTAACTAATGTTAAATTAAGCTTAATTTTATATGTCTTTGATTTTTGTATTAGTTCATGATCATGATAGAAAACTTGCCTACTTTTAAAGGATTTGTGAGAAACGCTACGAATTCTGATTCTGAATGTATCCGAATCTCATTATTATTTTATGACTTTAATTTCTTGCAGCCCCCTGAATGAAAAAGGCCAGTTTTGAAACCGCTGGGCAGAGCT